TGCATGGAGCACTGGGTGTTATGCACAAACAATGAATCATGGAACACTTCATCTAAAACTAATGATGTAATGTATGGGGATTAACATAACATAATAATAAAAAATAAAAATAAAATAAAAAAAAGCTGCTTGAAATTGCCCTTACGCTATAATTCACAATTTAATGCAAACAAACAAAATTAAAATGCAAAGGTGATTTCAACGCTATAGCAAATGAATATTCATCATTGTCACAATAATGATGTCTTTCTTTATTCAGGTATTTTGTGATAATGGAGATATCCACCTCATTCTTAAGCAGGCAAGATAAAGATGAATGCAAACGACCACCCTCCTTTCTACCTAAACAAAGGTAGGTCCTCAGTGAAACAGAAAGGTATCAAATGGCAAGGCTTCTGCATTAGTGCTGAGGTATTTCTGGGGCATAATGCTCTCTAATTTCCATAAAAATGTTGCATTTCATTCTGGTAGAAAATTAATCAGGAAAATTAACAAATAATATTTATTTTTGAAATTCAATCAATTGGGCATCAATTTCCTGAGTGACATAAAGAATTATCTTCTGTTCTTCTTTTCCCCAAGCAATTCTATACTGCATAACTTTATAAATTGGTAAAATAGGAGAGAAAATTAAAGGCCGAAAACCAAAAATCTATGAGATGAATAAACTCTGGAACTAAAATGTATTTCATTTCAATAAAATATTGCATTGCTCACCAAAGAGGCCATAGTGAACCCAATGACTTCAATATAACCATCATCATGGCGCTGAGGTTCAAAATCATGGTGATCTCCTGGGTTCCCCCAGGGCATTGTGCCAGCACAATATCTGCAAGATAAGATTAAAAAGAATTAAATTTATTCCATTGCTCTCACAATTGTCATAAGGTATTACCTTACAGTGAGATCCAACATGTATCTCACCTAAGATCAGTTTTCTGTTCTTGGTACATACCTTCTGATAGAAAAGAAAATGGTCTTATCATTTACAAATATCCATCTGTGAAAATGGGCCACAATTTTATAACACAAGCGTCTCTTGGGCCCAACTATCCCCTAACTCATTATTTATTAACATTTCTCACTCAGTGATCCATTATGTCTGTTTTCTATGACATGCTGTGAGCTACCCATAGGCGGTTCCAGAATTTGGTCTTGGAGGAAGACACTGCATCCCAGCAGGAAAGGGCCAAGAAACTGAGGTGGGTACACAATGGTCATTATGTGCATAACTAAGATAATAAATAACCACCGGGAAGGTAAGCAGAGAAAGGTAGCTGAGGAAGAGGAGAAAGGTATGAGGAAAAGAAAAGAGATGAAGAAAAAGAAGGAGAAGTAAAGGAAATTGGAAAAGGAATGGAGAGATGGGGAGCAAGAAGAAAAACAGAGAAAAAAAAATTAAAGAAGCTAATGTTTCCTGAGAAAATAATGTTTCCTGACAATCTAGGTCTTTTATGGAAATAACGAAGATGAAAATCCTTCTGGAATAGGATTGTAGGTGACTATACTGAGTACTGCCAAAAGTAATCAGGAGACTATGTTTTCCTAGCCATAGATTTACATACAATTCTCATTTCAATTAAATTCAGTCTAAATAGAACCTATCTGCAGATTTTGTGTCTTGAGTCGTGTGGTTTGCAAATAACAAAGGGTCATAGATTCATCCCCTCCAAAATCTTGGCTTGGGAGCCCAGACTCTAATTTTGTACCACTGAGATAATGTGCTTATTTTGAGTCTAGTTAATCTTAAATATCCCTTTCTCCTGAGGTACATAATAGCACCAAAGAGAGTTGACATCCTGGCTAGAAAATGCTACTCTAATTGATCCTATTTTTTCAAAGCAATCATCTAGCAGCAATTTTGAATGAGTTCCATGCTAAAATCAGGTTGGATGGTTTCCTAACAGCTTTTGGGAAACTGAGAACAGGGCTTTATTCAAGTCTATTATTCTTGGGAGGGAGAGGGAATCAGTAAATGAGAATTATATTAAAATGTTCCAGTAAATAGGGGTGCCTGCATTTCTTAACAATGGATAAGTGTATACCACGCATGCCACATCGCATAAAAACCACCCACCCACCACCCAGAACACTAAACAAACTGAGGAGGAGAACAAAATGACCAGACCTGGAAACCCCTAATGAGCCAGTAAGATAACTTACTTTCACTGTTTGTACCCTGGACATTTTCTATAATGAAACCCGATAACCTCAAGTCAAACGGAGTTCACATCAAACCAAAGAAAAAGGATGAACAGAGCTTACCTGGGTATATTTAAAAATACTATACACTGGAACTTCAGTTCCTGAATCTTTGGAGTGAGATCTGTTCCATCACACTGCAACAATCAAAGTAGAAAAAGGGTTTTGAAGTAGTCACAAGTCTAATATATATATTATGTATTATGCATATATATAATATATAATATATATCCTGGTCTTCTCCTTGCCCTCAACTCGCTTAAGTGCATGCCTTATGACTGAAAATGCATTCTGATTAGAACTTTAGCAGACCCAGGGTTCAGAGCATGGTTTTGTTTTGGTATAAAAAACAAAGCTGCCATTTGACCAAAATAGTTTTTCTCTGGCTTCATAAGCAAAGGAACTGCCATCATTCTTAACCTTGGAATATTAGCTATTTTAACTTGTAGTATCAACCTTAAAAGATTTATGAACATTTATTTTTTTTTTAAAAGATTTTATTTATTTATTTGAGACAGAGAGAATGAGAGAGAGAGAGCACATGAGAGGGGGGAGGGTCAGAGGGAGAAGCAGACTCCCTGCTAAGCAGGGAGCCCGATGCGGGACTCGATCCCGGGACTCCAGGATCATGACCTGAGCCGAAGGCAGTCGCTTAACCAACTGAGCCACCCAGGTGCCCCAATTTATGAACATTTAAAGGAATAAAAAGTTCAGGCAGTAGGGATCTCCACCAAAGTTATCCGGGATAGTTATTTGCTTTCTGAGATCAATTTTTATTTTGAAAACACCAAACATAATATTTTGAAAACTGTTTAAGAGGACTGTATATTGCAAGCTTTTAAAAAAACTATTATAAATCAGTGGTATCTCCATTAGGGATTTGCTCTTACACATTTAATATCTTACAGACGTTGACTGGTCCTCTGAGATAAACTGCTTTCCTGGACCTGGACGTGACCCTGGGTGTCTCAAGGGTCTCAGTCTGGCCTGGCCTCAATACCTCTGTATGGAGCTTCCCTCACTGGTTAGCACTTCCCTTGAGCATCCTCTGACTAATCAAAGAAAAGGCTTTCATTTCCCTTTCTCATTTCCCACTGGTGACAAAAGTCAAAAGAAGAAAACTCTAGTCGCGACTATAGACTTCTCAATGTCAAAGGTGTACTTTTGTATTTGTTCTCCCCAAAACCTCACCACAGAATTCCCCATTATCTTCTCTTTTGGAGAGCAAAGTAATGCATTCCCAAGCTTCCTGTGAATTTTTAAAGACTTCTTTAAAAAGAGTGTTCAGGCTAAGAACAGTGATTCTACTAGCATTAGCGTCTCATTGTTTTCCCAGCTCATCTTAATGCAGCCTAATTTTCATGGGCATGCTCCAAAAATTGTTTCCAGGAAATAATACAGCCCTAAATAAACAAATTATTTTAAAATGTTACGTAGAAAGGAATCATATTCTAGATATTGATTGAAGGTGTTTTTACAATATCTTCAGACACTAAGAAAACATGCAGTCTCCAATGTAAGCACTTGGAATGAGATGATAGATGACTATACCAAGGAAAATATCTTAAATTATCAAAATTGAGTGTTGTAACTAAAACTTTAAAAATAGGATGTGATATATTAGGAGCATACAAAGCAATACTGTTTACCTTACAGAAAAAGAAACTGTAAAATTATTGTATTTAGAACAGAAATCTTTTTAAATTTTCTACTTTTTCTTCCTAGGAAACATGTCAGTGATTCTGGGAATTTATCAAATTATAAAAGAGTGCAATATACCATGAATCATGCTTCACAAAGTTTTCTTACATATTACTGCCTTTAAATTTTGTGTGTCTTTAGAACAGCACCCGGGTGGCTCAGATGGTTAAGCAACTGCCTCTGGCTCAGGTCATGATCTCAGGGTCCTGGGATGGAGCCCTGAGTCAGGCTCCCCGCTCAGCTGGGAGCCTGCTTCTCCCTCTGTCTCCTCCCCCCCTGCTCCTGCTCTTTCTCTCTCAAATAAATAAATAAAATCTGGGAAAGAAAGAACAGCAGCTTTTAACCTTTCTCCTATTTCAAACACATAAAGGAAAATATCTGCACATAAAATACGTTCCTATACACAAGCTCACGTACTAATAAATAAAAAGAAGAAGAAGACATGGGAAGGAGCAAAAATAATGCTGTATAAAGGATTTTGTTATTGTCCTATGCTTTTCTGATGTAGTAGTCATACAAACTACATTTCTGTGAGAGATTACTACCTCTGAAATACTGACTTCACATTGCGGCAAAGATGAGATTGTCTGTTGTTACCTATACATTGAATCGCTCTAGCTAATCTACTATCCGTTCCATCTCTCACTCAAAAAACATACAGTGATGTCCTTACAGAAATATCCTGTGTCCCTGCGTGACACATCACAATGGTCTGTAGTTGTGGTTTCAAAGACATGTCTTATTATGCCTGTTTTAAATGAGGAAAGTAAACTCTTCTGAAAGGTCACAGGATACCCCAAAGTCATATACCTCATAAAGGTAGACCTAGGAATGAATCCTAAATATTTAGATTTTGTTTCTAATGTGGTTTTTTTTTTTTCTCATCTCACACACACACACATAAGATAGGATTACACAAACCAATTCACCTGGAATCTTGCCTGTATTGACTGATACCAAGTCTTTCCTACTTATCTGGCAGCCATTTTGGCCTCTTTGCATTTGGATTATTAGATATTTTGACTTGTAGTATCAACCTTTTTTTTTTATTATGTTATGTTAATCACCATACATTACATCATTCGTTTTTGATGTAGTGTCCCATGATTCATTGTTGGCGTATGACACCCAGTGCTCCATGCAGAACGTGCCCTCTTTAATACCCATCACCAGGCTAACCCATCCTCCCACCCCCCCTCCCGTCTAGAACCCTCAGTTTGTTTCTCAGAGTCCAT